GTGCGTTTATGGTGTGCGGTCGGTGTGAGAAAATCTTGCCGTTAGGTGGTTCAAGTTCACCAGCTTTCTCTGGCTGCACCGAGCGTAACACCAACCCGTGGTTAAGCCTAACCACGTACCTTTAACTGACGCTATTGATGACACAGTAGTGTGATTAAAAAATCTGGAGGTGATGCCGGGGGGGGCAGCATCCCTCTCCAATGATTACTATTTTAATAGAAGAATTGCTTTTAAAGAATTCACTGGGCCGGGATCCGTTGTTTTTAAGAGCTTTGACGCTACTGTAGTTCAAAAGCACCATAAAGCCAAGGAGTATTTCATGCGTCTCCTGAACAAAGTCAAAATACTCTCTTAAACACTTCAGAGAGAAAATATGTTTTATTAGTACAAGATTGGTAAGTCAGCAGAACTATGACCGGCAGGACTGCCAACAGAGGAAACCATGCAGCGTTAGGGTACTTAAAACATCTTTAATTAATATTAATAAAGCTGATGTTTGGCCGCCTGAAGGCTCCCTGAGCAATGTTTATGCCACTGCCATCAGATTTCCGACAAAAGGAAAGCAGGCAAGTACAGCAAGAGTATCTTGCGTTCAGAGCACTAGGTAAGGGCTGGGCAGCTTTGATTTCCAAATAAGCTTGGATGAATCACTTGATTTCGCTATAGTTCAGCTCTTCCTCAATCGAAAGAGAGATTCCTCCCTTTCTCTCATCCCCATATGGCCTGCTCTTATCAATTGCAAGCTTTCAGGGCAAAGAGCATCCTTTTGCAGGGAGGCACAGTAATAAGACGGGTCAGAATCTCAGTCAAGACCTTTTAACACTGGCGCAAATGAAAATAGCTAGAAAGGAGTATAAACAAAGGAGGGGGAAAAAAGCAAATGCTGAAAAGCCAACTGGTTGGTTGGTTGATTGATTGTGAAAATAAGATGGGTTAGAAGGGGATGTTAGAGATTAAAGTAGTTCAGTTCTAGACTGAGCCTGTTTTCTCTGCACTTAACGTGACTGACCTCTTTTTGAACCCTTCTGGGAAGAGTGACTCAACTCTCTCAGTTGAGCAGCACTGTTCTACTGAAACCTTCTGCTCCACAAGCTTCACTTTGGGATTTCCCAGTGCCAGGCCTGTGCTGAGGCACAGATCCTTTAATAATGATGTCTGAAGCCAGTGGAGGAATTTCGGTCACGCACTGTTAGTGTGACTTGTGGAGCATTTCTGGTGGCAGGTAGCCAAGCAGGTAGCTGGGAAAGCCACTGGCAATTTCTAACTATGAAACTTAAATAGCAAAATGGCATGTCCAGAAGGCATGTTAATTTTGGTGGCATCTCCAATTCATGCATTAATGAGATTTTGATTCACAGAGGAAACTTAGATATATTAAAGAGCAACTCAAAACATGAATTCTGAAGCGGGGTTTCCCTCTACCCTTGCACTGGAAGACACGTATTTACTGTAATTGTTAGAGAAATCCCATAACCGATCATGTGTGTTTTCCCTTTGCCAAACCAGACAGGAAGCTTTTGCAGGCTTTTGGTTTTGCTCCAGCTGATCTCTCTCTTACCTTGAGCTTCCTATTAAGTCAAAACCCAAGAAATTACTCTCTTACAGTCTAGCAGGCTGTTACGAGGGAAGTCAAAATGACTGGTTGTGCCTTCATGAAAAAAGATTAATGAAATATGTGGTTTTCACCATCAGTGGATGAGGGATGACTTCTTAAGGACAGCTGAAGAGAGAGGAGAGAACTGAGAATAAATAGTGATTTAATGAAGACAGAGAGAAGAGAGAACTGGAGTCAATGCAACATCTGATCCTATCAATCAGCTCCAAAAGAAAAAAAATATTAATTAACCCAGTAGATCTGTAGAACCTACAGGAGTTCAGAGATAATTATGTATATTGCTTTCTTTCCTTTCAGCTTAGGGAGAGAAAAGCAAAGTTAATGTCAAATCAGAAAGTAAGAGATAAATTATTTTTTCTTGCTGGTCCCTTTCCTTCACTAAAAGCCATCAACATGAGAAAGTGAAGGTAGAAGGAAATACATTTCAGAGGAGAAATAGCTCCATCTATCACTGCAAGGTACAGGCTGTTAAAATCACTGAGAAGTCTTAGGTGTAGAAAAAAAGAAAATTCATTATGGCACATAACTGCAATAGATTGACATAGTAAGTAGTTTTGGGTGTATTTCACCAATGCAAACTATTTACTACTCTAAAATCCCAGCCTTGCCAGTTATTATATGCGGATGGTTGAGCTCACCCTTGTAAAACTAAAACCAACTCACCCATAAGAAGATAGCTAATCAATATCAAGGCAATCATTTTCCTGCAGCCAAATTTCTGGCACAGAATCTTGAAAAAATTTTGAATCCACAAAAGATAAGGAATTTCTCCAAAAATAACACATAGATAGAGGTGAAATGCATCCATTGTAAGACTCAGGGACGCCTCATACGTCAGGTTGTGATCGGTAGGTGAACAATTTTGGGACCACAGTGGTCTAAGAGGGAAATCAACCACCTTCCTTTGTGTTCCTCCATCATCCCTCTTCTGGGCATCTCATGTAAAGAACCATGGCTAACTCAGTTAAGAAACCAAAAACAGGAAGAAGATAAAAAAGAAGAATCCCCCCTCCTCCCCATTTGTAAATGACCAAAAATTTTTAACAGGCACTGGAATTCATCCATGGTATTTACTCTGCCGATGTTTCGAGTAGTATGCAAGATACGTCATTAATGTGCAAGAAACAACACAAATGTGCTGAGAGCAAGAAACAAAAGTAAACACACACAAGGAAGTCCACCCCTATTCAAACTATGCTTCAGCAAGCCTTAAACAAATTAAAGACTTATTTTGACAAAAGCTAGCTCTTCAAACTCTTACCTCTTTACTTCTAACTCATAGTGTTTGCTGCTATGATTTTTAATCTTCTTCCTGGAAGAGCAATGTAATTGAGTTGTTTGAT